TGAATGTACAAATGCGCTTTACACAATTGATGTATGTATGGATTGTGATAAGAGTTGTATGAGCCCCTAATAAAATGATTAAAAATAAATAAATAAAATAATGAAAAAGAGCACCGAGTTACAGTTGCAAAGGCGCATAGCACCGTTAAGATCGACTTTTACCACCTGGCAGGCCTGAAGATCAAGAGACTCCTTGCTTGATAAACCAACTCAGGGGTATCAAGCCGATTCTGATTCAGTGGCCTTGCAGGTTAGAGAAGTGCCGCACGGTGTTTCTAAGACTGTAGTGTTTACAGAAACAGGCTGTCACAACTTTCCCCCACAGGGCTGTTAGGGTCTGAAGTGGCATCCTTGGTTAGCAGCCAAGCACTTAATCACTGTACCACCATGGCTCCAATTAATAATCTAAAGATATGTACTATTTTATTATTCTATGCAAAACCAGAAGCTCATTAATTACTGAGTCAATCCTGATTCACAGTGACCTTATAAGACAGAGTAGAACTGCCCTTTCTGAGTTTGAGACTAAATCTTTAAGGAGACAGCCTCACCTTTCTACCGCAGGGCAGCTGGTGGGTTCAAACTGCTGACCTTCAAGACACCTTATAGTCTATGCAAGCATCTGATATATTAATTTCTATCTGTATTTGTTGAAATGCATAAATAAATCAGCAAAGCAAGCACATACCTCGGGGGATAAGCACCTCCTCTCATGTTGTAGTTATAGGTGGACTGCATCCGAGAGTAAGGGTCAACAGGCTTGTACATTGGTTTTTTTCCAAGTTTCATGCACAGTGCATTTAGTTCCACAGTAGGAGTTATGCTTTCTGCAACACAGAACCAACACAAGGAACAGTTGCTGTTTTTTAAATATGAGAATAATGGTTATTAAAATAAAGAGTAGCAAGCTTTTGACTAAGTGAATGGATGATGCATTACGTAAAAGGGTCTAAGCCTTAGACTCTAAGGGCTCCGCTGCTAGGCATCAATCGGGTAGGGAAATCCAAGAAGCTGAGATGCTTTCTAGGAATCAGTAACCAGTCAACAGCAGCATTCCCAGGAGGGGCCCTTTGAGGGAGTGGCAACTTAGCACAAGAAAGCCTCAGGTTCCAGCTGTTCAGAGTCCCACACCATACTTCAACATCAGGATTTAAAAGGCCTATAAAAACCAAACTGACTGTCATACAGTTGATGCCAACTCATAGCGACCTATAGAACAGGGTAGAACTGCCCCTGTGGGTTTCTAAAAGGCTAGCTCTTTAAGGGAGTAGAAAGCCTCATCTTTCTCCTGAACAGCCACTGGTGTTTTTGAACTGCTGGCCTTTCGGTTGGCAGCCCAATGAGTAAACACTCCACCACCAGGGCTCCTGTGAACAGCCTATGGGACTGCCCAAATCAATCAGTAAGGAATGCTTCATCAAAATAACTTTTGACTGTATGAATCCACTGGGTTACTGGTTTAAACCTGGAAGTATGTTTGTACATACTATTTCCAGAACAAGGGTATTAATGATTTACAAGAGCCTAGATGGCACAGTGATTAAACTACCTGGTTGCAAAATGAAAGGTCAAAGGTTCGAACCCACCAGCTGCTGTATAGGAGACCTATGTGGCAGTCTGGGTCCATAAAGATTTCCAGCTTTGGAAACTATGTCCTATAGGGTCACTGAGTCGGAACCGACTGGGCAGCAACAGGTTTGGGTTACATGTTTATAACTATAAGTAGAGCACTGTGCTAAGCTGACAGACACAACTCCAGTCCCAGCGTTCAGGAACACACAACACACTGAAAGAGCTTTGTTGCTACAAGGCGTGGACTACTAAGGAAAGGTACAGAATCACAGAGGAAGAGGCTGTAGAAGTCAGATGAGGCATGCAAACCATTAAGGAATTTCTATTCTTAACAGCGCTGTGGGATCTGACCTGCAGCAATACTTGTTAGGAAAATGAGTTCCATTTACAACAGGAACAAGTATACCTTGAGTTAAGACAGAATTGTTAACTTTGGAAAGCATATACTATCCAATTTCTATCTCCTCCCGCGCCCGCCCACCCATCAAATTCATAAACTTTTACAAGTCACGGCGGGGGAGGGGGAACCCGAAAGATTAGTGTCAGTGCAATCACACAGCAAACACAGAGCAACACTAGCAATGGCAAAATTCAATTTAAATGTACACAGAAAACCACCTTAAAATGAGTAAAAATGGCTATATCGGTTCTGTACTACAACTGCTTTGACTAAATCTAGTGCATGAAATCATATTTATAAACCTATCTTTGGGGTATACAAAATCAAAGGGGCATGAATTATTAGCATCTCTCTCTTCTCCTCACATTAGAATATTTTTCATTATTCATACAGTTGCATATTAAGTACAATCTAAGTAACTTCAACAGCAGCTCTGATCCATAGAAATTGTGTGTTTCAACAGAGAACGAATTTGAAGAGAGAACAAATGAAATCAAAAGCAACAAGGAAAGCATGGCCAAGACCTCCCGTGATCTGCTCTGTGTGCAGAGGGGCTGAGATGCCTTGATGCCCTCAAGGGTCCACTCTGTTAAAAGCGTCCGCTGTCACCACAGCCTTTCCAGCAGTGGCTCCCAACCTCTGCACCACCACCTTCTACTCCCAGTCTCTCTCCTTGGGTCCCTTGTTTGAAAAGATAGTACTTACTAGTTTACATGTAATGAAATATAAATACTTATTTTCTCATTCTTTTTCATGATCAGGACACGTGACTCATTCAAGGTCATGGTTGCTATGATTGCTGTTACCATACTGAGTTGAAGTGATGTCAGGTAAAACCTACATTCTGTTAACACATGCAGCCTGATCAGGGAAAAACAATGTGTTTTCATTAAGCCTCTGAAGTCTTAGAAATCCTTTGGTGAATCCCCCACCATCCCTACCCCTTCTACCCTTTTCTCCAGATTGCTGAGAATTAAGAGAGACTCTGGATTAGAAACCACCACTTTGGAGTAAAGTCAAGAATTCCTAAAAGATAAGAATTTGCCACTGATAGTGTAGAATCTGTGCTTTCAAATTCAACACATTAGTTAAATAATTTATACACACACTAAATGGATACCTCTAGACACACTTTTGAAAGGAACCTGTCTTGGCCCACGCATAATACCTGGATTCCTTCCTTCGCTACGAAAAGGGCGGACTATAGGGTTAGGAAATTTTGTTCCTTCCAAAGCTTTGGCAGCAGCTGTGTGTTGGGCCTTTTTAATACTAGTTCCTTCCGCTTCCCAGTGCTGATCTCCAAGTGTTAGCTGTACTGTAAACACCTACAAATGAAAATTGTGAGCTCTCAATTCAGGAAACCGGAAGTTGACTCTAAGTTGTCACTTGGCCCTTGAACACTTCTTATGGTCAAGATTTTAAAAGCCGGGCCATTATCTTGGCAATCTATCCCTTTCACCCCCTTTTTTATTTTCTGTTGCTTTTATAAGCAGAGAAATATTTTAAAAATGTAAGTATCATGGATGAAAGTTGCACAGCACTCCATTCAACAATAATTGGAAAATGCTTTCTTACATATTAAAATATTAGACGCTGTCTACTTGGAAGTCACCCAAAGAGACAGTCAGTCTTCCAGGGAACTTCTGAGGGAGGACTTAGGCACAGGGTAGTATCTCGAGCAAAGCCCTATTTGTTGGGATGCTGGCAGGTGCATTGTGGAGTCTTGGTGGAAAGCATCTCCCTTCGGAGGACAAGCCCATGAACAGAGTTAGAAATGACAGCAAGGTTCTCAAATGCTGCCTCCTGCTTTCCTCAGACTGTATTATTCAGATGCTGCCTCTACTTTTACAAGAAAATCATACCTAGAGGCACAAAGATCTAAAATCACTTCTGAACTCCACTGTGAAGCAGCATCCAAATAGCTCGCTCAGCCTTCACGCACACCTTTGAGACCAGGACATTTTTTTCCCTTTGTAAGTATGAAGGCCATCGAAGGGCATCTCCATTTTTAAATAGTTAAAAACAAACAGAAAAAAAACTACAAAGCACCAATGCATCCAAAGTATTACCATGGGGTTTCTGGTGAGCCAGATGCCCAGGTTAGACTCCCCGATTCTGAGTGAACCGCACCAGGGAGGGTCCCAATCATATACTCTCAGAGTGACTGTGATACACCTTTAGAGTCTGATATAGCCACTATTTTGGGACTTAGCGAAATTGACTGGAGCTTTTATTTTTCTAATTTTCTCTCTCGTTGGACATCATTTCATTTCATCTACAGAGTACTGATGAGAAATTTGTGCATTGAGCATACCCAAGGCAATCTGCATGGCTGCTTTTTCTTGTAGGTTTTAACTTTAGGACACCTTCAGTGTACCAATTCCAGGAAAGGGAAAAGTTAAGAGACTCCTTCAAACCCTTGCCTGTACACAGACTGCAGTTCCTGAGCATACTCATTCAAGTACCAACAGCATGCCCTCCAGGCCCTGGGTAGCCTGTTAAAGTCCAACAGCAGAAGCCTAAGATGCTAAATGGTTTGGTGATCCTTTCATGCAAAGATACTGAAGGGGAAAAGGGGAAACACAAAAAAGGGGTAAACCTTGTTAACAGTGTTGTATTTTTCCAAGAGTTGACTCATCAGCACTGTGGCCTCTTTGCTGGGTTGTGTGTGGAGGTGGGCAATGAGGTTAGAATCTTGGTTCTGATAGAATTAAAGGCACACCAGACCTCTGACTTTTTAAAATAGTCTAACAGTGACCTAGCAAGAAACAACTTCTCTTTGAGCAACTTCTGGGTGAAAAAAAATGGAGTTACAATTGAACACACAGCAAAAGTACTAAAGTAGAGGCAAAAAATAATATTTTCCCCAAAATATCAAAAAACAGTTAATAAGGGGAATTCCAAAGTTAATGTCTGCAAAAAACCTGTAGAAGCAGCATAATAGTTATAGAAAACAACACACTGCCTCCAAATATGAAGACACATTTGAAATATAATTATGCTTTGGAATAATGTTACAACTAACTTCATGTGAGTGAAAAATTTGTTTTTCTTAAATGCACAAGTGCTTAACAATAACAGTTACCGTTTTTTTTAAGTCCTCGGTACATAACAGACCATGTGCTTCACACTTTTAACATAGATTCCCTCATTTACTTCTCACAACAGATCCATTCGACAGGTATTATCCTCATTTTACAGACCAGGAACCTGAAGTTCAAAAGCAGCACTAACTTTCCATGGTCACACAGCTAGTAAGGAACGAGGATTCAAACCCAGATCTGCCTGACTTCAATCCACTTTAGCCACCTAGCTGGGTTATTCTCCATGGCCAATTTAGAATTGTGGTTGATATTACTATTACTCAAGTGAAAAGAGAAAGGTCACATTATTTAAGGCCTGTGGTTTGGCATGTCAGTTGAAGTATAAAGAGATTAAATAACATAATTATAGTCTTGGCTGCAAGGCTAGGGGCAGAAACAGAAAGTCCATTTTTTGTATCTCACACACTATAGCCTCTTGTACTACAGTCACAAAAGATAAAGCCAGATATGCAAAAACCAAGTTCCAAAATGTGCAATGGCACAGAGATCACACAAGTTTAAGAGGCTGGACTTCTGAATAACGAATTGTAAAATATGAAGTTATAGTCAGTCCTTCATTCTGAGGAGTGACAAGGATAACTGAAGTCAGAGATGATGCAAAATGCACACTTTAAGTGCTATCAAGGGGCAAAACTAGTCTCCCCTTCCCCTCCAGCCCTTGCCCAATCTAAGGCACTCCTGCAAACAGCAGGAGCAGGGCCAATAGCAGGCGGCAGCCAGGAGGAGGCCCAGAACCTGGGAAGCTCCTGAGAAACCAGCAACAGAAGCTTGGGAACGGTCTCCATTCAGAACCCTGAACAACTACATACCTGTGACAATGTAAAAAGCCAATCGTCTCCCAAAGAAACCTCTTTCCTTTGATCCGTTCTGCAAGGATGACAAAGGAAGTTGCCCTTCAAAAAAATCACTTAAAAAAAAATCGCTTTTTCCTTCTTTAGAAGACAATCTCACAGCAGTGTGAAAATACATACTTTAAACCAAAGCACCCCTTTCAAAAGTGTTTACAAATGAAACAAAAACAGAAAGCATTCCTGGTGGTTTATAAATGCACAAGCAGTATGGGCAATATTTACCTTACAGTGAGCTGGACCTTGCTCACGCATAAGCTTATACTCAGGCTGAATCTTGTTGAAACGGGCTAACTCATTCACAAGACACATGGGGGTTTTCTCTTTGGGGTGTGCCAAGTTAGAAGGAACTGCAAAATAACCGAAGAGCATTGAAGTCAACTAGCCGTATGTCGAACTGCTGCTCTCCCTGGGTTATGAACACAGAGGGGATTCAAACAGGAGGGACCAGGGCTGAGAGCTGCAGGGATCCAAAAATGCAAATCATATGGGGGCTCTTGCCTGCAGAAGACACTACCATGGTCTATGCTGAACCAGCTGAAGCCAGGTAACCTAAAAGAGGGTGTGGCTTCAAAGGAGAGAAAACGGAAGCCAGGAGAGTCAGTACACCATTGGAGGCAGACAGGAAGGCAAGAGTGGGTGTCAGACAAATCAATTTGCAGCTACTAGAACCAACCAAAAATAACAAGGAGGTCTTCAGAGCAGACACACTGGTTACCTGTTCGCTATTTTACCAAATTCAACATCCCACCACCTCTCAAACAACCACCATCCTTTCCTAGAGAGCTAACTTCCCATTGTTGTCCCCGCCCTTTCCTATAGAGGCTGCCATCCTCTCGCTTTGTAACTACTTCTGACAGTTCCCAAGTAAAATAAAGTGGACTTGGTCAGAGGAAATTTACAGTCACAGGATGCAGACATAAGAACATACTAGAAGAAATAGCAACAAATATCCCAGAGGACTGGAAAACCTTTGTGCCTTTGCCTTTGAAGATGGTCTGGCTTTGCCAACTAGGGGGAAATTGAGCATCTAGGGGACTATGACAAGCCAAGAATGCTGTCTGGTGAGCCAGTCCAGGAAATCTGGAGGCAGTGTGGAAGATGCCAGGCAGCTAAGTGAGAAGCAAACATGCTGAAGAACTGATTTACAAAGTAAAGGTGATGATAAGATGGAGGCGAATGTATGGAAAATGGTCAGGGATATGGATGGAGTTGAAATGTATTTGTTGTAAAGTGCCTCTAGTATAGACCAACAATACTGACAATCCACGCATTTGACTGGTCTCACCACTTTTTGACACAGTGCAGAATAATGGTTTTAGGTTTTGTTTTGATTTGCAATGTCAAGTCTTTTCTAACCAATAAGGACCCTTAGTTCATTCTCATTTTCCTAATAATCAGATTTGAAGGCTTTAAAACTTTTATTGAAAATTTCTTCTTTATTCTAATTGCTACTCACATTGATTTCTAAACTGCCTCTAGAATCTTCTGAACTTTGGCTTGTTTGAAATAAAAATTAACAGATGCCAATATTTTGCATATTGTTTCTAGTGAAACCTGGCTGCCCCTTGCCTGGAGTCGACTCTTGCGAACACACAAAAAGGGAGCTTGTTCAAACAAAAGTTCTTTGTCAGTCCTGGGAAGTAAGTGTAAAGGCAGAATTTTCCCTTACAACCATGAATATCAAAAGTGGTATTTATTGTTCAATTCTTTCAACCTGTCTTCAGTTCACAGTAGAGTAGGCTCTCTATTTTGAGTACTTTTCAGTTGCTCTTCCTACAATTTTAAAATGATGTGCCAACTGGGACCTCAAACACCACCACACTGAGCAGTGCTTTCTATCAGGGGAAGGAGGAGTGATGGCAATGCTGCCTCCTCCTGCTTCTCAAAGCTAAGTCTGAGGTCCCTCCATCTGCAAACCTGCATGTCAGATCAGAAAATAAGCTAAGACGACATATGAGACAGAAGACACTTGGATTCAAGCGCTTACCTGCAGCTGCACTGGTGGATGTGATAGATGCAGAGGGTAAAGCAGAGTTTTGAATAGGTCTACCTGCATTTTCAGAGGGCAGAGAGCTAGTAGTAGAAGGAATACTCATCAAAGGCTGTGAGAGGAGAGACTGGTTCCTGTTCAGTATTTGGCCCCCCGAGAGAGCAGCAGATGGGTTCTGAACTTGCACTTGAACTTGAGACATGGTCACTTTCAACAAAAGTGAACAAATGCAGGTAAACAGCTTTCAGTGCAGGTTAATTCAGTGCTATGAAGTCTAAAGTTCTACCTGAAAGTTGTAAGGGAAAGAAAATAAAAAGGTAAATTATAGAGGAGATATGTAAGTGCCAATATTCAAGTCAAAATTGGTGTCACCAACTCACATATGAAAACGGCCCCATTTAACATGTGGCTGGGTGAACAAGCAGGAAAAGTTTTCTCCTTGTATACGCACAGTTCCTGGGTTTGTGACTTCCCCGCACTGTTCTTGTTTTGTTTAGTGACTTTTATAATACCTACACGTTTGCATATTCATTTTACAGTGAGAATCACTAGAGCACAGTAATGTTTATTACTGAAAATTAAGAATTTTAAACTACAGTTTACATTCAAAAGTATCTATAAATAGAGAGCAGTTTTCCACTGTACATGGGGTAAAGTCTCAGAAATTGTTAAGCTGCTAAAAGCAAACTGGATATCTAACACACCATTAATAAGTGAACTTAAAACACTGCTTCCATTCACGGGCCACAAGCTCAGATCAGCACCCTCACCACTCTTCTGTACATTGTCCAAAGAAAGGGAGTTTCTCACATCTGCCATTTCTTTTTCTTTATGGTAAAACAAAAATAAACATGTTCATTTCCCTAATGGGTTTGTGAGACTAGGTCTCATTCAGTTACAAACGCCCACATCAGTAAGCAAGTGACCAACCTATATAGTATTTGTACTACTAGAAGCACAAGTGGAGAAGCAGCAGAGAAGAGACTTGGGGCATTTCAAATGGAAGAGGGGAGGAAAGGAAGCCAGTCCAGGGAAGGGCAAAATAGGACATTGTTTACCTTCATTTTCTAAGTTAGGAGGACAGCAAAAGCATTAGTTCTAAACACATTTCAATTTCTTACCAAGTAAAAATAAGGGCAATTCTGCTAATTTTCATGGCCATCCTTCAGAAGTGGAAATGTATAGAGAGTTAAAACAACCTAAAACTTGCCCGTTAGACGCAGCCATAGAAATGACAGGAGTCTCAGGAAATACCGACCAAAGCAGAAATCGGCCAACTAACTGCTTACACGTTCTTCCATGGAGTATCGGTTCCCTTAATTTATTGACCAAATCTCAACATGGTGTCAAATTAGTGGCAAACCTTTGACAAAGAGTCTCCAGACGAGCAATTCAGTTACTTGAGGAATCCTGGGACATTCTCTCCTGCTAAGAGGCATTTCAAAACAATGTTTAAAAGTCTACAAAACTGAAAGAAACTCAGCTAAAACAGGACGTTGGATAACAGCAGCATAAAGATTTCTTCTTAAAAAAATTCACCCTTGTGGCAACTGTTCCTTGTTCACTAATAAGTATTCTGGGAATCAGAGCACAGAGGAGCTCCACCGACTATCTAGATAAGGGTCTTAACAGATAAGCTACCAGTGTCAACCAAGGCGCCCCAGTTTAAAAGTCAGCCATGACCTGGTTTGTCTCTTTTTTTCTTCTTCTTCTTCTTCAGTAGGCAAAATATAATTATGTCTCACTGATTCACTCAATCATCACTCACTCACTTTTCCTCTTCCTCGTTCCTAACTTGGTCTCAAGGGCATTTCCCTACGCCAAAAATTTAAAAATCATTTCTGACATTACTTACTTCAAACTGCACAAGTCACAAACTGAAAAAACAAGCCATACACCCGTGTCTGCTCCAGAGTCTGCCCACAGCCCAACTCTGCCCTAGGTTGGTGCTGAAGTCTGAGGCTCTGAATGAACTAAATGTAGACAGGGGGCACCCGGGCGTGGAGGGATCTCTTTGGGGGAATGCTGTCCAAAACAGGCTCAAAGCCAAGTATATCCAGTCACAGAATGAATACATAGGTTTTCTAGAAGTTAAAAAAGGAAAAAGAGAATAGTCTCTTAAGACTGCCCCAAACCTGTTATTTTTTTCATGTTTACCTGAAAGAATTATGTCTTTATAATGATTGGTTGAAATTTCCAAATACATTACAAAATTTTAAACACCCCCCCCCCTCCATTAATAAGGCTGTTCACTTTCCAGCATGACCTGTACTACACTTCAACCAACAGTCCTCATTCGCTAACACCTTTGTAGTCATTTGTTAATGCATCCCTTCCTTCTTCAGTCAGAGTCCCTGGGTGGACACTTGACTTACTCATCGGATAACCAAAAGACGAGGAGTGAGCTGACCCCAAAGTACCTCTTCAGAATGGCCTGGCAATCTACTTCCAAAAACAAGGCCTTGAAAATCGCATGGAGCGCAGTTCTACCGTCACACACAGGACTGCCTAGGCAGCCGCTGGTTCCTGTGTCTTTAAAGCACAAAGAGTATCTAAAGCAGTGGTTCTCAACTAGGGTGAACCTGATTCTCAGGGACATCTGACGATGTCTGGAGGTATCTTTAAGGTCTAACAACTGAGGGGGAAAAGCAGAAGCTGCTGGCGTTCAGGTACAGAGAAGCCAGGGATGCTGTTTCAAATATACACAAACTAGTCGACAAAACCAAGTGTGACATTCCTCGGGGGTGGGGAGGGATCCCTTTTTATTTCCAAAAACCAAACCTAAAAACCCACTGGTCATTGATTCTGACTCATAGTGACACCCTATAGGGTGCACAGGGCTACAAATTTTTATAGCAGCAGGTACACTTAACTTTTCCCAATGAAATAGATGGTGGGTTTCAACTGCTGACTTTGCAGTCCACAGTCCAATACTTACCCTATAGTACCAGAAGGCTTAGAAAATTGATGCTAATATTTTACCACATTCCAAGTCAGGAAAGCCATTGAAAAAAAATATATTATTGACCCATGTTTTTAAAGAATAAAGCTGGGGGGTGGGGGGGAGGCTAGAAGAAAAAGAGAAACCCTGGGGGAAGGGAGACAGTGATAGGTGTAAGATATAAAAATAGTAATTTATCAAGGGGTCATGAGGGTTGGGAGGAGGGAGGTGAAAAAGAGCTGATACTAAGGGTTCAACAGAAAGCAAATGCTTAGAAAATAATATTGCAACAAATATATAAATATGCTTGATACAATTGATCTATGGATTATTATAAGAGCTGAAGAGCTCCCCAAAAATGATCTTTTAATTTAAAAAAAAAAAGGATAAGGCTTGTGCTCTAATAGCTAATATTCTCCCTGCCATCTAGTCAATTATGTCTCATAGTTAGCCCATAGGACAGAGTAGAACTGCCCTTGTAGCTTCCTAAGACTGTAAATCTTCAAGAGTAGAAAGTCTTCCTCCTCCCACGAACAGCTGGTGGTTTTGAACAGGCGGCCTTGCAATTAGCAGCCCAAAACTTGTAGCCACCATGTCAACAAGCTCCTAGAAAAACATGAAAGGAATTGTGGGATTTTGAAGATATTACTTCTGCACAAATTTTTAATCTGCTGCTCAACCTTTCTCTCCAGAAGAGAAAGTCCTTAAACACAAACCCTTCTTTTTGATTTTTTTAAATATTATTTTATTGGAGGCTCTTACAGCTCTTATAACAATCCATATATCAATTGTATCAAGCATATTTGTATATATGTTGCCATCATTATTTTCTAAACATTTACTTTCTGTTTGAGCCCTTGGTATCAGCTCCTCTTTTTTCCCCACCCCCCACCCTCCTGATCCTTTGATAAATTATAATTACTTTTATTTTCTTATCTTACACCAACCACTCTCTCCCTTCCCCCGTGGCTTTTGTTGTTGGTCCCCCTGGTGGAGCGAGTGGTTATTTGTCAATCATTACAATTGGTTCCCTCTTCCTCCCCTCCTCTTTCCACCTTTCCTCTACCCCCCTGGTATTGCTACTCCCATTTCTGTTCCTGAGGGGTTTATCTGACCTGGATTCTGTGTGTCCTGAGCTCTTATCTGTACCTGTGTACATGCTCCAGTCTAGTCCTCAGTGAAAGACAGGCTTGGGGACATGATAGTGAGGGGAGGGGGGGGTGGTGAGGAAACCTCAAGGAACCAGAGGAATAGAAACACAAACCTTTCTTTAAGGATTATTTTCCACAAGACACATTATGGATTCAAGAGAAATTACAGAAACACAACACTTTATAAGAAGTAAAATTAGTCTGGAAAGTCAGAAACACAAAGATTCTTCCGCTGTCCCTTTCCTGCCTCCCCGGGGGCCAAAGCACAGTTGAGGGTCTTGAATCCTCACCAGTCTTTCCTATTGAGGTACTCACACACCCACTCAGAAAGCACACTTATCTCACTCAGGAGACCCTCCTTGTGTGGTGCACGTCAGCCCTGTAACAGTCCGTAAAAAGCATGAAATAGTAGGCTGACAGGTCCTCCTTTGCAAAGATCCCACAATCCCTGCCCTCCTTATCCCAACACTGGTTTGGTCATAGTGATACAACCAACCTCTTCTCATCAAAACAGCCTCGCCTTGGCTAGCAGCTCCCATTTTGTACATGCCAAGCACTTTTTCATTGTGGGCTACTGGGAAGGGGCACAAGAACTCTTCAATACACATTTTTAAAAATTAAGCAGTAATTACATAATGTGCTAAGATAGTCAAGCACAAAACGCTTACTCCTCACTCTGCAGTAAATCTCCTAAGACCAGACCATATGGTGTATGCATTTTGAGTAATTGAATACACAAGAGATCCTTTAGAAATTGTGTACAGAATTCTCTGGCATCTTATTAGGTCTTATCCACCTTGAACAGACCATAAAATCTACTTCAGCACTTAGGGAAAAATGTCATTTTGCTATTTCGCTGGATTAATTTAGAGTGATGGGTATATACTGTTTGTGTAGTTCTCAGTACAGCAGTTCCTATTTTAATAATTGATGTGTCCAGACAAAATGTGGTGCAACAGTGAAGCGCTCGCTGTCAACCAAAAGGTGGGCATTTTCAACCCGCCCAGCAGCTCCAGAGGAGAAAGACTTGGTGATCTGCTTCCCCAAAAGTGACAGCCAAGAAAACTATGGAGTCGGTCCATTTTGTATCATGGGGGCATCATGAATCGGGATCAACTGACAGTAAACTCACAAATGGCAGAAGGTGCATCTCAATGCTGCAAAGACTCTGGTTTGCTAAAATTCCTCCTCAAAGAAATAAGAAGAGACTCCCAGCTCTAGATTTATTTGTCAGCCCTCTCTAGTTTTGGGAGACTTCATTCCCAGAAAAACTTTGCTAAAAAAAAAGTAATGTTAAGAAATAAACTAGGTTTCCTACCACATAAAATCCCTTTCAATAGCCTTAAAATACGAAAGGCCTTCAAAAAGCTTCTGGGAAATGGAATGAAAAGATAATGAAATGTTTCCAAGAACTTTTTGAACCCCCTGATATAAATCTATATTGACACCTTACATCCAATAGGTATTTTCCCGACAATCCTTTTATCTGGCTTATTTTTTTCGTTGCAATGTAGTTTTAAGTTTTCTGCAAGTAAAAGCCCCAGCCCACCCTCACCCAGAAACAGCAACTCACAGACTAAACATCATCCAAATACAGGGCGGGGCAGCTGATACCAACCTACATAATCAACCCTCCTATTACTGTCAAAATCAAGCAAGCCACGTTCCACAGCAAGCTCATATATCAAATCACTTAACAAAAGGCTCTTGGAAAGAAACATGACCAAACTATAAAAACAAGAAAACCAGCACACCCTATGCTCAAGAAAGACCAGGGAAACAGAGCTCTGAGAAGACACAATCACATCCAAGACAATAGCATCGTCAAAACACAACGCCTGGAAACAGGCCATGCTGTTCAAGCGCTTTGCTGCCCCCATGGCCCAAGTGAGGCCCTGTTCTACTCTTGGCCCCAAGCCAGGTGGTGGTGACCAGTTTTCCTGCTGCACAAATGTAACCACTGGGTGGTGGTCCGTGTACAGAAAACTGCCAAAAGGAGAGTACATGCCTGCTCATCATCCTTTGTACAAAAGTGAAGCAAATTTCTCTCTGTAGTTAACAGGTTGTGACCTTTCTTTTCCCTCTCTAGCTTTCAAACCTTGTCAGGCTCCCCTCCCTCTCTCTTTTCCCTGCAGGAAATTCTTGAAAGCAATTCAAGTACAGGCTTAAAAAAAAAGTGTTTTATACCAAGCAAAATGACTAACTCTTCCACAATTTACTAGAGGTTCCTGAAAGCACTGCTGTGTGACAAGGGCTGAGTTTGGCATAATGGTTAACTGGCCTGTGCTTTCAGCAACAGCAAACTGCAGTCTGTAGCCAACTGCCATCTACGTGGAAAAACACAAATGCACTCGCCATTATCTTCATGTGAAACAGACCCAGTTTCTAAGAAACCAGCCTTCTGCTAAGTAGCGAGTGACGTTAGACCAGATCAAACTCCTGAGTCAGGGGCTTTCAATTCTACCCCCAATTCCCCAACTCAGAGAGCAGTTACTCACCCCAAATCCTAGCAATCCACTTCCCAGTGGATTTCCTCCGTTTCCGCCAGTGCACAGAGTACTGCGCAAGAAACCTGACACAGCTTAAACTGCAGCAATCTGAGGACTAAAGCGCTGGAAGAAATCCTGAGGTAGGTAACCCAGTCAGTCAGCTTTTTGGAAAGAAGTATATCATAATGATTCAGTGTGCAACTGCAAATCCAGTCACCATGCTGGTGCAACTCCTTTAACTTCCTTCTGCTTCCACATCCTAGTCCCCAGAGAAAGTGATAGGAACTTGTCCACTAAGTACTGCCTCAGAGAGCTGGTGTAATGAGGGAGGGAAGGGCTCTTAGAGAGAAAATGCTAATACGAAGTATTGCTAATGCATGTATTACAACCCCAGGCCTTAATAAAAGACAATTCCCAAGGGGCTTTGAAAACTCTTTTGGGGTCTGGGTGCTCATAGCTACCAGTGGTAAACAGCTCAATTTACAACAATATCTCATAACAGTGATTTAGTTCTACAACTTTGAAAACCAAGTTTAATATAAACAATCCGAGATATCACAAGCCTGAAATAAAACAAACTACCAAAGTTGCTATTGACCAAGCGGCTAATGAACAAGTTCTGCTTAATGTCAACTTCAGCGAGCCAACTCCACATTTCAAGTAGCTGGAAGTCCTGGCTTGAGGGCTCTACATTCTTTTGACTTCTCCCCATTCCTTACGTGCCCAGCATTTACTTATAATCAAATCTCCAGATTTTATGTATTCGAACTGCATAAAATGTCTTGTTTCGCTAGGATTACAGAAGTAAAAGTAATTTTTCTGCACAAGTCATTGAAGGATTCACAGGTCTGAAACTAGAGAGCCAAATTACTTGTACCTTAAAAAGAGGGTGCTCCACGAACAATGTTGTTTTGGTTCAGAGTTGTGAGAGGTTATGTGGTTAAGCAACCCCTAGAAAATAAGAAACAACAATTTACTAGAGTAGGTCTTTCTCTGAGAATGAAGGCATATACTGCTGCAGTTTTTCAGGGAGGCCTCAAAGATGCAGGTGGGAGTTTCTGAGGAGTGATGTCACGGCCCAAGCTACACACTTGGGGCATATCCAACTGCCTGAGACAGGGTAATGGTACTTTGCAGAACATGTACATGCAACACAGTATAAATTTCCTTTTTTAGTTTCAATCATCTAATGAGAGCTGAGAATGCCCAGGAAGGTCCTTTTTATATGCTTGATAATACAAATGCAATTAACATGGAAAAATTTACCAAAGGATACTTAGTATAAAACCATTCTTACACTAAATTTCAAAATATGAAAAAGAATATTAACATTAGTGAATCAAACCATAATCAGGTTTTTTTTTTGTTTTTTTTTTCAGTATTATCATTTTATTTCCTAAACTGCACACCCGCTGGCCCAGGGACAGGCTCCCTGGGACCAGTCATACCTGCCTGGGAGATTTCCATAATCAGGTTTTAAACCAGATCACAGGTGTTTAATTAATCAAACGCCAGGCCTGGTTCATCTAGAGAATTTCCCTTTTATTTAAAAGGTAGTAATAGCAAAGAGAAACTTCTTACCTTGAGATGCTTTATAACACCTTTCCCATCTGGAGCTCAGCTGCTCCATATCTCACCCTTTCAAACAGCTGGCTGATGGGAACTGAAAAAGGCCTCTAAGCCCACTTAATACTCAGGCTGTAGCCCAGGCCTTTCACTAATACCACCCTCAATTCAAACCCATCTAGGACAGTCGGTTACATCTGGGTGGCTAATTTTCCAGTTCATTCATTCACTGCCAGGGAGTCGTCGACTCATAGTGACCCTTTAGGACAATGTAGAACTGTTCCTGTGCGTTTCCAAGACTGTAACTGTTATGGGATTTGAAAGTCTCCTCTTCCTCAGAGTGGCTGGTGGCTTTGAACTGCTGACCTTGCAGTTCAAAGTCTAACCCGTACCCATTATGCCATCAGGCTCCCTTTCTACTCCAAAGCAGGATTAAAAAAAAAAAAGAATGGGTCACTAGGACAAACACAATAGTAAAAAACAAAACAACGAAAAAACAGCAGCCAAAAACTTAACAGCAAATAGAGAGAAGTATGACATGAGAAGTATGTTTGCAACCCTATGAACAGTGAATCTCATGTACCTTTACACAATACATGTAATAGATGTGAACTCGGGTACATGTTCCCACGAGCAAGCCTCATGATTTTTAAAAATAATCCTCCAAGATCAGTTCAAAGGATGATCCAAATCCATCACAATTTTATCAGCATATCCATGGTACAGTGAATTACTTAATAGGTTCCTTGGGGCTATAGTCTTTGTGATTCCTACCAAAAGACTGGGTCAGGCTATTCAAATGAGGTACTTGTTAGCCCACCAAGGGAACTGGAACTCTTGCTAATAATGTCAATAAGGTAGATAACACTCTTGCAGATGTGGTGGTTGTGAGGTGAAGTTGAGTCATTCCAACTCAGAGAGACACTATGTACAACAGAATGAAACACTGCCCATATTGCATGATGTGCTTTTCCAAGGATGAGTCTCTTGTGGTAACATGTTCAAAGTATGTGAGATGAAATCTCACCATCCTCTCTTCTAAGGAATATTTCAGCTGTACTTCTTCCAAAACTGATTAGTCTGTTCTCCACTCACAGCACTTTCAGTATTCTTCACCAACACTATAATTCAAATGCAATCAATTCTCTGGTCTTCCTAATTCATTGTCCAACTTTCACATGCATATAAGGCAACTGAAAATACCATGGTCAAGTACACCTTAGCCCTCAAAGTGACTTCCTTGTTCTTCAAAACTTTAAAGAGGTCTTGTGCAGATTTGCTCGATGCAATGCGTCCTTTGATTTCTTGACTGCTGCTTCCATGAACATTGGCTGTGGAACCAAATAAAATGAAATCCTTGATGTCAATCTTTTCTCTATTTATCATGTTGTTATCTACTGGTCCAGTTGTGAGGATGTAGGGTCTTTTTACATTGAGTTGCAACAGACTGAAGGTCGTAGTTGAATTTCTATCAGCAACAACATCAAAGTCCTCATTGTCAGCAAGCAAAATTGTGTCCCTACCGGCTGTTAATGTCTTCCTTCCTTCAATCCTGATGCCAAGTTCTTCTTCACACAGTCCAGTTTCTTGGATCACCTGCTCAGCAACAGAGGCGGAATATGTACAATAGGAGGCTAAAGCCCTGACACACAGCTGTTGACTGAGGATATGGGCAAACCAGCTAGCACACTGCTGGCTCAGGTATGGTGATGAATATTCTGCCTCTGGACCTGAGTTTGACTCCTAACACTGCCTCTCATCTAAATAACCCTGAGCATGATCTATCTGTAGCTCTATCTTTTAATAAATAAAACGGGCTTCCCAACTCCAATCTGAGCGCTGTTCAGTTGATTCTCACTCCTAGCGACCCAGAAGGCAGAACATAACTTGTGTATAGGGCTTCTACAGCTGGAATCCTATAGAAACAGACCATTACATCTTTTCACCCATGGAACAAGGGGTGGGTAGGTTCAAACCACCAACTTCTCTGCTAGTAGCCAAGCACTTCTACCTCTACGCTACACCACCAGGACTCCTGAAAACAGATCTGACAACACTTGCTTCATATGATTAATGAAACTGGTCATACGGTTATTGAAGAAATTAAATGGTAATGTATTTGAAATGCTTGTAAATTGTGACATGCTGTTATCAAAGTTGGCTATAAAACACACATTTATTAGGATAATGTATGTTATGATAAGCAATCACTGAGCAGGCTCCAACTCATGGTGACCCCACAGAGAATAAAATGTTGCCCAGTCCTGCACCATTCCCAAGATCAGGTGTAGACAAGACCAGTGTGATCCAGGGTTTTCCTTGGCTGGTTTTCCGAAGTAGATTACCAGGCCTTTCTTCCTAGTCTGTCTTAGTCAGATAGCTCTGCTGAAACCTGTTCCACACCATAGCAACATGCAAATCTTCGCTGACAGATGGGTGGTGGCTGCATGAAGTGCATTGGCCAGGATGGAACCTAGTTATCCTGAACGGGAAGACAACAATTCTACCACTAAACCAATACTGCCTCCAGGACACAACAGAACTAATCATTAAATCATGTTCAAAATGCACTAAAGAGAATAGCAAAATTTTACAAACGACCTCATCCAAGAAAAGATTCTTGTACATTCTTTTATATTTGGTGTTTAAGTGGACAAATTCTCAGCTAACGGGGAAATTACTATCTAGAAGTACTCATTTTCTCAATGTTCCCAAGAAAGAAACCTTACCTAGCTCTACTGGTCTGTCATCTAGGCAGAGGGTCACGGAGCCTCAGTGCACTGGGCCAGTTAAAACAACTAACATAAGCCTTGGAACATCACCAGACACCATTACATACTTTATCCTCTTTTTGACAGGACACAGGTCTGCTGAACACACTGCACAAAACCCCAATGGTATCAGCAGACTATAGCCCTGTTTGTATTAGGGTGGAATCTGCAAGGCCAGATAATTCATGTCTCCGTTAATTTTAATCTATAGAAAGCTGGACTTCAAAACAGCAAAGATGTTTAGCAAATCGGACAAGCTCATCCTGAGGGGAACCAGTATAGTAACAATTTAAGCAGCATTGTCTGCTCACTTTAGCTCCAGAAAGGAAACATTTCCAAGCCCACTTCATGATTAGAGAAACACTCAAATCATTACAGACTACAGGGTACTCTGTCAAGGTTAAATACAGAATACAACGTCATACAACATTTTACTAAAACCCAAACCCAAAGGCAGATTTAATTTCATTGGCTTAACCTTTTATAACTTGCCATCAGAGATGATATTGCCTGGCTGGAGAGCCGGATATTTCTTATTCGGGTTCAATGAAATAGTGCATTGGAATTGAAGCTGTATCTGCCCATCACCTTAGAACCAAATAAACAGACTGGCTCATAAAATAAACAGTATCACCTGGGAATAATGTGTTCCCTGCATAAGACCAAATGGTCAACAGTTACTCAGAAACAAGAGGATAGGTATAACACAAACAAAAAGGAAGAAGAATGCTGACACATTTAAAAAACTGTAACCAATGGTACAGAACTTTTTGTATAAACATTATTCGGGGGAACCTAATTTGCTGTGTAAACTTTCACCTAAATCACAAGATTATTTTTCATAACACATCCTAAACATTGAATTGAGTGCATCGTTATCATTCCCCTATTCTCCTGTTTTTAGGAAGAAAGGTAGAGACTGGACAGCAGAATTAATGATCCTAAACAAACTCACCACAAAGAGCACTGACGTTGGAGCCAGTCAAGCCTGTATCCCAGCAATAAATTCTCAGGAGGCTATTCGGGTCCTGCATCAATTTTGTGGCCTCTCAGACAGGTCCAGGCATTTTCAGCTATTACAACCCTTACTGTGTCAAGATATTTGGGGATATAACAAATACTAGGGAAAATTCAAAAAGTTCTTGAATGTATGGAGACAGCAAGGGGTATAGTGGGGGGGGGTGTTAAGGGAGCTGATGTCAAGGAGTTGGAGGAAGAGAATATTTTGCAACTGATCGTGGTAGCAACTGTATAATACTGTTTGCTGTGGTTGAACTATGGAACGGTCTGTATTAGCTCCCAATAAAATGTTCTTTGGGAGGGGAGGGGAATTTCCATAATCTTTTCATATTTTCCCATGAACTTTGTGGAGCCCCTCCCACCCCCCATATAACATCTAGGGTTTAGAGCTGAATGCTTTGCATAAAGGAAGAACTCAATGAACAGCAGCTTTTAAATCACTAAATCCAATCTCTAATCTGACTATTGCAATTCCCTTTCTGCAGTAACTCTCACCCTGTAATTCTAATTGGTAATTGGACACATGGCAAGAGCTCAGTAATACCAAATATTATTATCCAGCAAATTCACTACTCCTTGTCCAGAGTCACATAAATATCTATAAATATAAACTT